AATTTGTCTATTTGGTTATTATCTTTATTAAGAATGGTTGATAAAAAATATCTAAAAAATAAAAAAAAAGGTAAGATTGTGATTTTACATAGGAATCTTTGTTAACTTCTTACCTATTAAATTACGTGATTATCTTTCAAAATAACAATTTTGTTGATTTAAGTCTAAATATTTTATATTCATAAGATATATTTAACATCTAAATGTGTAGATATATATTTTTAAGTAATTTAGAAAAAGTGACCGAATCTTTACGATTCACGATTCGATTCGATTCACGATTCAGTACAAGGCCATTTCGATTCATGATACGAATCTCGATTTGACAACTATGGTATGACCTAAGAACCACGGACACTTCTAAGAAGATGACATGTCGTGTTGGACACTGTGTCGGATACTGACAATACACCACACTTGTTGAATACTTTCGATCACCTGTATTGGGGACACGTCCAAATATGTCGTGTATTAAAAAAAATTCTGGACTCGAAAATGCTTCAATCACTTGGGGAATATGTGTCTATCGCTTTGACGCACGTGAAACACATTATAAGTTCGAATAAAATAACTTAATAGCGTCCAATGATAAAAGTACAAGAATGTGAATTTATACTGAATCTCCTCCTTTAGACTTAAAATTATTATCTTTGAATTAAATATTTATATACATGACATATAATACATGTCCTTGTTGCGTCATGTGTCCATGTTTCTTAGTATATGACCGTTCTTGGAGAAAGTACGATGAGATTATTAGCTTGAGTACATTTTAGGTACCCTTTCATTTTATTGTCTGTTTTTGCGTGCTGCCCTTGCCATCAATAGGCAGACTGAACCATTATTCGCTTTGCATATTTTGATGTTCTAAACACATTTATAATTTTTGACGAAGCAGTATTGTTCCTACATATGATTTGAACCATTTTACTAATGAATTATGGGCATTTTTGTTGCCTACTATTCTCCAGCAAGTCTTAGTTGAGTTGACAAATGACCCCAAGCTTGTTTATCACTGTGGATTGACACCAAAAAAGCTACCGGTATGTTATTTCCTAAGCGCACACAGCATTCTTATTAGTATCTAACGACTGCTGTTCATGATCTCAAAAATCTTATATTTTTGTATCAGGAACTGGTGGAGAACAATCCCCTCATTGCAGTTGAAGTGCTCATTAAGTTGATGAATTCACCTGAAATTTCAGAGTATGTTCTGGTGCATTTATTTTATTTTTCTTTTTTCCCAACTAAAAAGAGACAAATCGTGGCTTTTCAATTTTCGTGTTCCTTTCACCTTTTAACTTCCTTTTGGTGTTTACAGATATTTTACAGTCCTTGTCAGTATGGATATGAGTTTACATTCAATGGAAGTTGTGAATAGGCTTACTACAGCTGTTGAGCTTCCCACAGAATTTGTACACATGTACATAACAAATTGCATATCATCCTGCGAGAACATCAAGGTCATTTCTTTAACTTTGTTTTCTTGGTGGTTGTTTTATGTAAATTGTTCTGTTGATCTGAGTTGTCAAGGTCAGCAACCACCATCTTCCTAGAGAGCCACCTCAACCATCATTATATTTTACAAGCTAGATGTAGAATTGAGAGTCATAGATGGAATTGTCAAGCTGCCGGGGGCTGTATTTATAAAGTCTATTTTGCACCCCGCGTTATTCCCTAGCATAATTCCAATGATAATAATAGAAGGGGGGTTAGAACAGTGGTTACTTGGACTAAAGAGATTCGACCAAATCCTAACCAAAAGATGAATTCCCTCTCCCCAACGTGGAAACCCTTATAAATCATGAATCAGCCACAGCATGTTCTCCTTCATGGTTGGCTTTAGTGGCTACAATCAGATCAAGATGGGCCCAAAAGATGCTCTTAAAACTGTTTTTCAAACACCCATCGGCAAGTTTTATGCAGTAATGCCGTTCAGTTTGAAAAATGTTGGGGCAACATACTAACAAAGCCATGATGACAACCATTTTCCATGACATGTTTCGCAAAGTCTTGGAATGTTATATTGATGATTTGGTGGTGAAATCTAACAAAGAGAAGATCCATCTTTCGTATTATTTGCTCACTCTTACTTAGAAAAGTATATATGCTTATTGTCCAAATATCAATATCATTGTTAACTATTGTTACTTTAGAAATTAATAGTTTGTCTATTTGGTTATTATCTTTATTAAGAATGGTTGATAAAAAATATCTAAAAAAAAAAAAAAAAGGTAAGATTGTGATTTTACATAGGAATCTTTGTTAACTTCTTACCTATTAAATTACGTGATTATCTTTCAAAATAACAATTTTGTTGATTTAAGTCTAAATATTTTATATTCATAAGATATATTTAACATCTAAATGTGTAGATATATATTTTTAAGTAATTTAGAAAAAGTGACCGAATCTTTACGATTCACGATTCGATTCGATTTGCGATTCGGTACGAGGCCATTTCGATTCACGATAGAGGAGTGTTACTTTTGGACCACCTCTCAACTAGTATATTGTGCACAACGGAATAAAAGATTGATTCCTCATGATCTAGCTTCCCTTCATACCTAAAGATGCTTGCCTTCACCTTTTCAATCATGGTGTCCCACATTTCATAGACTAAGTGAAGGCATGGTTTGTCAGTGTCACAAAACCTAAGCATCTCATAGATAGGCGATGTAAAAGTCAAAATATAATCAATCTTATCCCACCACACATCATTCAATAATTTTTCCTTTACAGATGCGGCTTTTCCAACATCGTCTTCTTTGTAAGAAACCCACTGGTCACTAATAACCATTGATTGGAGGCCACGCTTTATAAGTTTAAACCTTTTGAGCATGATAATGACAGATGCGAAACGTGTATCTGCAACAGCAAGCAACTTCAAGGGTACAAATTCATTGAAAATAGCTAGCCACATGGAATGGTTCATGATGAAGTTTTTGATAAACATCACATCATCAACACAAAGTGTGATCCAGTGACATTCATCATAAGCAAAAGTAGTACCCCCTGTTTCCTTTGGAGCACAAATGTTCTTAAGAGCAAGATTCAATGTGTGAACTACACATGGTGTCCAAAAGATATTCAGGTACTTATTTTCAATGAGTAAACCAGCTGCACTACACACGGGAGCATTATCTGTAATGACTTGAATGACATTCTGATGTCCAACTTCTTCAATTGCTTGACTAATTAAGTTGGAAATAAAAAACTTGTCTTTATGCTCGCCTTCACAATTAACAGCTTTCAAGAACACTACCCCAGCTTCTGATGCTCCCATAAAATTAATAAGGGGCCTTCTTTGAGAATCAGTCCATCCATCTGAAACAATACTCAACCCTTTTTCCTTCCATGATGCTCTAGTTGGCTCCAACAACCTCTCTACATTAGCCCTTTCCTTTTGAAGCAATGTAGTCCTCAACAAGTTATAACCGGGTGGTACATAACCAGGAATTGGATTGTTGGCAGCAAATTGAAATGCACTAACATAATATGGGTTCCTTGATAAATGAAAAGGTAACCCCGCTGAATAAAACATGCGAGCAATCTCAGAATGTAGTTGTTCACGAATAACTGGGTTGAATGCCTTTTCTAGAGCAGAAGTTCCAGTAGCTTTTCTTTTTCTTGGCTCATACCCCTCCATCCTAAATCCGCTAATATCTAAAGCCCCTGAACTTGTTGAAGTAGATTGGGTGGAAGGTGGTAAAGGAACTTTTTTAGGCATAGCCATCTTTAACCTCTTCTCAGCTTCTTCAATTTTCTTTTGCATTTCAGCAAGGTGTTGTGGAGTCACTTTGGGGCACACTCTAAGCCCATTGCCAGAAAGTTTTAACAAATGTGCCTTGACCCTAAAGTATGACCCCCTGTACTCTTGTTGACAGTAATTGCATTTAAACCTAGTATTACCACCTCCTCCCAATTTTTCTAGTTTTGTAACATAACACCAAAGAGGAGCATGATCATCTTCTTCCATTGGTGTACCACTTGTTGAACCTAAACTTCACGTACCTGAACTCATTTCCTAAAATTTATGGTAAACAAATAAAAAAAAACATTAATGTAGCATCACCCATAACAACCATAATGCATTATCCTCATCCATAACAAAAAATTCATTGATTCAATTAAATTTCAACAATTTTAACAATATAGCATCACCCATAACAACCATAATGCAATTCAATCCCAAATTAAGGGGGAAAAATTTTACAAAGTTTATTTATTTATCAATAAATTTATTTATTTATTTATTAATAAATTTTTTTTATCTTATTTGATTTATTAATAAGTTTACAAAGTTTATAATTTTATAAGTTTACAAAGTTTATTTTTAATAAGTTTATTTATTTATTTATTTACTACTAAGTTTTTTTTACCTTATTTTATTTATTTATTTATTTGTTTGTTTTATTTAATAAACTTATTCAATAAACTTATTCAATTTGCAGAGTCTACATATAAGTGTTTTTTTTTTTTACTACGTGATTTGCAGAGTCTAGTCTACATATATAAATAAAATAAAATAAAATAAAATAAATAAATAAACATCCAAGTCCAGAAGGCAGAACAGAATCACAGATCGACATCTCGAACTCGAACCAGAGTCGAGACAGACAGATCGAGCGAGATCGAGAGGGAGAGGGAGAGAGAGAGAGTTCGTGACAGACAGAGGGAGCGAAAGGGAGAGAGAGATGGACGAACCTGATCGAGATGAGATCGATCGGCGAGCTGTTCGAGACGATCGGCGAGCTGTTCGCGACGATCAACTGTTCGCGACGATCGGCGACCTGTTCGAGAGGATCGGCGAGCTGTTCAAGACGATCGGCGAGCTGCTTCTCCTCCTCCTTCGCGGCTGCGTCGAATTCGTAGGTCAGAGGTTTGTTATTTTTCATTTTTTTGTGTTTAATTTCATCTTTATTTTCATATTTTACAATTTCACCCGAGAGAGAGAGAGAGAGAGAGAGAGGGAGAGAGAGAGAGAGTTCGTCACAGACAGAGGGAGCAAAAGAGAGAGAGAGAGGGACGAACCTGATCAAGATGAGATCGATCGGCGAGCTGTTCGCGACGATCGGCGAGCTGTTCCAGACGATCGGCGAGCTGCTTCTCCTCCTCCTTCACGGACGATCGGCGAGCTGCTTCTCCTCCTCCTTCACGGCTGCGTCGAATTCGTAGGTAAGACAGAGTTTGGTTTGTTATTTTTCATTTTTTTGTATTTAATTTCATCTTATTTTCATATTTTACAATTTCACCCCATTTTAAGTTTTTTAAATTATTTTTTTGCCCCCGCCGTATCCATACCGTATCCATTCCGTATCCATTCCGTATCCTCGCGTATTCGAGACGTATCCGAAATTCAAAAATTAAAAAAAAAAACGGATACTCCATTTCCCGTATCTGATACGTATCCTCGCGTATCGGGCGCGTATCCGTATCTGATACGTATCCGATACGCATACGTGACCTATTTCGGAGTATCCGTGCTTCATAGAAGACCAATCATACAGCGCACACGCAGATCAGCACTCCACCACGCCGAGATAGTGGCAGAAGAAGTGCGAAACCTTCTAGAGGCAGGAGCTATCAGAGAAGTGCACTATCCCAAGTGGATATCCAATACAATAGTGGTGCCAAAGAAGAATGGAAAATGGCATGTCTGCGTGGACTACAAAACAGTCAACAAGGCATGCCCAAAAGACACAACCGACTTAGCTTTCTTGATGCATACAGAGGTTATCATCAGATCGCTATGTATGAACGAGACCAGGAGGTTACATCTTTTACAACGCCAAGAGGTCTGTATTGCTACAAGGTCATGCCCTTTGGCCTAAAGAACGCAGGGGCAACATTCCAACGGATGGTCATCAAGATGTTTGAGCCATTGTTAGGCAGAACAATGGAGGCTTACATAGATGACATAGTGGTCAAGAGCAAGGATGAAAAGGACCATTTCAGGGACCTAGGTGAAATGTTCCAGATCCTGAAGAAAAACAAGTTACGCCTTAATGCTTCCAAGTGTACGTTCGGCGTAGGATCAGGCAAGTTCCTAGGCTTCCTGGTGACGAACTGTGGTATTGAGGCAGACCCCTCTCAGATCAAAGCAATTCAGGATCTAGAGAGGCCCAACTCAGTGAAAGAAGTACAGTATCTCACCGGCATGGCAGCCGCGCTCAACCAGTTCATAAGTCGGTCGTCAGACAGATGTCGACCATTTTTTCAAGCATTAAAGGCCAAATTTGAGTGGGATGAAGAATGCGACCGCGCCCTAGAAAGTTTGAAAGAATACATGTCTTCTCCACCGTTGCTAGCAAGGTTCTGAAAAGCGGTTGCGGTCGCCGTAACGGTGGCGGTGACGCGGTTGCGGTTGCGGGGTGTAAAGGCCGTAGCGTAACGGTTGCGGTAACCGGAACCGTGAATTT